ACGCCCTGAGTTGACCCGAGATCACCGCATGGCGCTGCACTGGGCAGGCGCGCGTGCGGCGCGGCGACGCGGTGCTCGTCCACTCCGCTGCCGGCGGCGTCGGCCTCGCCGCCCTCTACCTCTGCCGTACCCTTCCTGGACCCTTCCCGGAGCCTTCCTGGAACCTTCCCATAGGCCTCGCCGCGGTCTTCCTCTGCCTCGCCGCCGGCTGCGACGTCTACGCGACCGCCTCGACGGAGGCGAAGCGGCGCCTGCTTCTCTCCATCGGCGCGTGGCGCCTAGAAGCTGAACGTCTAGGAAGTGTCTAGGAAGTGTCTAGGAAGTGTGTAGGAAGTATCTAGGAAGTGTCTCGGCGGCTAGAGGCTGAATCTAGCGCTCGCGAGGACACGCATGCTTGTCTGTGCTCTGCTGAATTCGTAGTACCCCCCCCCCCTCCCTCCCCCCGTACTCACACAGTGCTCGGAGGACGCTGCGCAGCGCCGTCTCCCCGCCCCGAGGGCGGCGTGTACACCGCTGCAGGCGCTCGCGCCGTCTTCTCGTCGCGCGAGCCCGCGGCCTTCGGCGCCGGCGTGAGGGCGGCGACGGGCGGGCGCGGCGTCGACGCGGTCCTCAACTCGCTGGCGGGGGAGGAGGCCGTGCAGACCTCCCTCGGCCTGCTGCGCCCCTTTGGCCAGTTCTGCGAGCTTGGAAAGCGCGATGCGTACGCGGACGCACCGCTACGGCAGCGCGCCTTCCTGAACGGCGTCTCGCGCCACGCCTCCCGCCCTGACGCTTCGAGGAAAACTTTCTTTATTACGGCAAGTCCCTTCCCTTTGTAGGCATCTCGCGCCACGCGCCTCACCGCCGGGACGAGAGTGCCCGAGAGTACCGGAGAGCACCCGAGAGCACCCGAGATAGGCGTCTCGTACCACGCGTCTCACCTCGACGTGCTGATGCTCGAGCAGCCGCGCCGCGGCGAGCAGCTCTTCGCGGAGGTCCGGGCGGCCATGGAAGGGGCGTGGGAGGGTCCTGGAGGGGCCTCCGGCGGCCAGGGAAGGGCTGCGGAGGTCCGGGGGAGCGGGGGAGGCGTCCGAGCGGGCCCTCTGCCGCCGCTGCCGACGAAGACCTTCCCGATGGACCAGCTCGGCGCGGCTGCTTCCCCGAGATTACCCGGGATTACCCGAGACTACCCGAGACTGCCCAAGATTGCCATAGAATGTCCCAGATTGCCCGAGATTGCCATAGATTGTCCGAGATTGCCCGAGACTGCCCAAGATGCCCGAGATCGCCAGAGATCGCCAGAGACTTCCCAAGATTGCCCGAGATCGCCCGAGATTGCCGGGTGGCTCCGCGAGCAGGCGAGGCGCTCGACTACATGGCGCAAGGCGTGCACGTCGGCAAGGTGGCCAGCGCCACTGCCGCCTGTCGATGAGCAGCCAGTGGCTGAGTACTGACAGCCTCTCGTGCTTGTCGGCAAGGTGGTCATCACTGCCGCCGCCGTCGCCGCGGCCGCCGCGCCGCCTCGCGTGGCTGTCGGAGGCGGGGCGGCGGAGGAGGCGGCGGCGTACCGCGACCCGCTCGTCGACTCGCTGCGCTCTCTCGGAGGTTTGGTAGTAGTAGCAGCAGGAGTAGTAGTAGTAGTGTTCAGAGGAGGAGGAGGAGGAGGAGGAGGAGGAGGAGGAGGAGTAGCAGCAGCAGCAGCAGGAGGAGTAGTAGTAGTGTTCGCGGCAGCAGAGGAGGAGGAGGATTAGGAGGAGGAGGAGAAGGGTAGTAGTACTAGCAGCAGCATAGGAGGAGGAGGAGGAGGAGGAGTAGCAGCAGCAACAGCAGCAGCAGCAGCAGTAGTAGTACTAGCATAGGAGGAGGAGGAGGAGGGGTCAGCGACTCGTCGAACAGAGGCAACACCAACCACCGACGCCTGGCTACACTGGGCGGGGCGAGGGTGTGGGACCAAACACGCTCTTGGGGTGCTAACAGCTCGGAGGTCGGGCTGCACCTGCATGGCCGTCCGTGCCTCGTACTCACCCCCCCCCCCCCCTCCACACCGGGCTAGGTGAGGGAGGAGGAGGCGACACCTGCCTCGTCATCCGCGACTTCGACGCGCCGCTCGGAGCAGCGGAGGGTGGGGAACCCGGCGTCGGCGGCGGCGGTTGCGGGGGCAGCGTCGATGTGGCGGCGGCGGTCGCGGCGGCGGCTCCTTCGGTGGTAGTGACGCGCAGCAGAGCGGTGGCGGCGTGGGCGGTGGCGTGCGGTGTGCCGCTCGTGGTAGAGGCGCGAGGGGCGGTGGGTACGGTAGGGGGGCGGTGGGGGGGGGGCGGGCCTTCTAGGGTGATCTAGGTGCGGAGCGGGGAGTTTGCGTAACCCCCCGGGCGAGCTAGGACAAGGCGGCCGCAGAGAAGCGGTACAAGTCCATGCGGGTCGCAGAGCTGAGGAGCGAGTGCGAGCGCCTCGGCTTGGCCACCACCGGCGTCAAAGCAGCGCTCGTGGCGCGCCTCCTGGCGGCCTGAGCCTGTCGTACTACTGTTGAACTCTCGCGCGCATATACGCTCGTGAATGAAATCCAGCGCGAGGCAGCGACTGTACCGTGACCCATGTACGTCACTGTAAGTGTTAGGGACGCATGAAAAAGGGGAAATCCTCTCCGCTTTTCGATTAAAACAAAATAGATCCGCATCTTTGCCAGCGAGATGTCATGAGCGTGCCTCCAGTATTGATCGCGATTTCTTTCGAGCCCAGACGGCAGCGAGAGAGT